CTGTGAGTGGTAGTTCCGGCGGGAGGGTAGGGGGACGCGGGTGGGACGGGGGAAGGACACGAGGGTGGGCCACTGCTGCGGGGTACGGGTGTGCGATACACCCCTGGGACACGGGCACGGGACGTGTGCGTGACACAGGTGTGTGTGTCCAGGTGTGTGACACAGGTATGCCTGCACACTGCCTGGCTGGGAGCATCAGCAATGCACGGCGCCCACCCAGGGCTGCTGCAGGCTGAGCCCTGCTGTGCTAGTCGTGCTGTGCTATGCATAGCCATGCTGTGCCAAGCCATGCCATGCCATGCTGTGCCATGCCGAGCCCTTCCCTGCCATACCACACCATATCATACCATGCCAAGCCATGCCACGCAGAGCCGTGCCATGCCACGCTGTGCCATGCCGAGCTGTGCTATGCCACACCGCGCACAGCCCCACAGCCGGGAGGCAGCGCACGTGCCGGCATAGGGCACCCCCGTGACTGCCGTCGTGCCAGGGCTCCCCACCTGCCCTTCCCCACCTCGGTCATCACCTCTCTAATCCCACCCTAAATGCGTCCCTGGCATGGGGACGGCCACCAGTGCGGTGTCCCCATCCCACCAGGCTGAGCCGGAGCTGGGCTGCCCGCCAGGCTGGGGGCTCTGGAAGGCCTCTTGGGACAGGGGCTGACTGGGGAGGGGACAGCCCCCGCGTTCTGTCGCCACGATGGAGCCTGGCATCAAGGGCTGAGTGTGGCCATGCCGGACCACATGTGCCATGCTGGGCCCTGCTCTGCGGCACCGCCAAGTCCCAGGAGCAGTGCTGAGCACTAGGTCGGGGATGCTGGGGCAAAGCCCCCTGGCCCAGCCCCCCCTTCCCTGTGGCAGGGGGGTCCGCGGTCCCCCCCGTCGGCTCGGCCTGGCCCGGCCCCCTGAGCCTGGGAGACTATTAAGGACAGAGCTAATGTAAGAGGAGTTAAAGTAAATAATTCTGTGGTTAAGCTGCTTTCCTGCATCTCACGGGCCCATGTGAGTCCTGCAGCTCCTGCGGGCTTAGGCACTACAGCTGGATGGCGTTGCCCCGTCCCCGTTGTCCCTGTCCCCTAGCGCAGTGCTGCCCCCCCCCCCCCCCCCCCCCACCTC